TAATGTGTAATGGTGGCATATAGAAGCATAGGGAGAGAGAGGAGAGGAGAGCAGAGAAGGAGGTGAGGGGAAAGAAACTCAGAGCATCATGGGGTCCCCCAGCAGCCTAGGCCTATAGCAGCATAACTAAGGGAAGGCTCATGGTCACCTGATCCAGCCCTAACTATAAGCTTTATCAAAAAGGAACGTCTCAAGTCTAGTCTTAAAGGTAGAGAGGGTGTCCGCCTCCCGAACTGAGACTGGGAGTTGGTTCTATAGGAGAGGAGCTTGATAGCTAAAGGCTCTGCCTCCCATTCTGCTTCTGTGGACTCTAGGAACCACAAGTAAACTTGCACTCTGAGAGCGAAGTGCTCTGTTAGGATGATAAGGCTCTGCGAGGTCTTTAAGATATGATGGAGCCTTGTCATTAAGGGCTTTGTATGTTAGGAGAAGGTTTTTAAATTCTATTCTGAATTTTACAGGGAGCCAGTGGAGAGAAGCTAATATGTGAGAAATAAGATCTGTCTTGCTAGTTGCTGTTAGTACTCTGGCTGCAGCATTTTGGATTAGCTGGAGGCTTTTTAGGGAATTATTGGGATATACTTATAGTAAAGAGTTACAGTAGTCCAGCCTGGAGGTAACAAATGCATGGACCAGTTTTTCAGCATCACTTTGAGACAGGATGCTCCTGATTTTTGCAATATTGCGTAGGTGAAAGAAGGCAGATCTAGAGACTTGGATTTTGTGTGATTTAAAGGACATATTCTGATCAAAGATGACTCCAAGGTTCCTCACAGTAGTACTGGAGGCAAGAGCTATGTCATCTAAAGTAACTATATGATTAGACAGCAGATTTCTAAGGTTTTCAGGCCCAAGCACAATAACTTCAGTTTTGTCAGGGTTTAGAAGTAAGAGGTTACAGGTCATCCAGGCCCTTATGTCTTTAAGACATGCTTGAAGTTTGACCAGCTGATCTGATTCATTTGGCTTCATAGACAAAAATAACTTCTTGAGGTGTTTTGGCGGAGATATTCACTCAGTAATTGACTACCATGAACCTGCTAACAGAGTTCCCTGCAGACCTCTTACATGTTATTAACCCCAAAACCTCTCAAATAACAACAACCTGCAGTTATAGGCAGCTACCTCCTTATATCTTCAGATGTTACTGTACTGAGAAACTTTTATAAACCAGTATACTCTGGCTCTTTGAGGAAGGGTTAAATTTTGTCTGAATTAACCAATAAAAGCCGTGACACTGGCCACTTAAGACCATATTTGCTATGCACAGTATTTAGCTGACATAAGATGTTATTAAGGATAGGAAATTTAAATGGCAGTTTGTATTATGTAATAAGTAAAAAGCTGGATAGCTTATATTTTAGTGTTGGTCTACTGTCAACCCTCTCAACTGTTGTGTAATATCAAACACTCACTGTTAATTGTGTAATCAACACTCATGGTGAATTGTTGTGTAATGTCAAATACTCATAATGTTTGTGTGTGGCTTTAACCATGACCACTTAAAAGTGTAAACCCCTTAAAATCATAAGAATGTCAATAACTTCCAAATTAACTCAATAAAGACAGAGAGTATTAAACCTTTTCAGGAATTTTATATAGATTTTTAAGAAAGGTAAAGGTGATTGGCTTACAATCTAAATAAACCAACTGCTATTTCTAACATCAATCTAAAATGATTATACTGATTAAAAACATTATCCTTGGTTGAGCTCTTGATCTGAATAAAACAAATTTATGCACTACTTTATTTTCTTTCTTGTTCTTGTTTTTGTTTTGTGTGTTATATGTTGTGTTATGTTAAAGAACAAGTCATTTCACATCTATACACTATCATCTACTCTGCTGTTTTTGTCATATGATAATATGAACTGCACTGTACTACCGCAGTATTTTCCAGTATGTGTAACAGATCCAAATCAGACAGACCTGACATATTCTTGACAACTAACCTGTTCTTCCCTAGCATTAGGATCCTGAGAGAGCTTAGAGCTTCAATGCCAGTCATTTCAGAGACGTGATTGTTATACAAGTTCAGGAAGACAAGATGTTGCAGATGTGACAAATGCTGGATCCTTGTGATGAGATTGTGCTGGAGGCTGAGAAGTTGTAATTCATCCCTAACACCCAGCTGAGGACATTCCTCCAGACAGCGCCTGAATAATTGAGAAAAAAAAAACAGTTTGTGAGATTTAGGCTTTATATATTAGGTTTATACAATTTGGTACTTAATTTCAGACATTCAGAATAATGATGCAAATGACCGATTTAGTATTTCTACCTTCCTTATTAACAGACTTATTTCTGCTCAGTGAAGTAGTTTTTAAACACTGATCTTGGAGACAAGAAGTGGGTCTTTTAAGAGACTTTGCTGCTCCCTGGTGGCGACCTGAAGCATCTGCCATTTTGTCTAAAGACTTATTGTAATAATAATATGATTTCAGCAATAAATTAAGTATTCAAACTGCAAATACTGGGAATGCCAGACTGAGTTCATAAACGTAATGACATTTGAAAAGAATAAGAACACAAATGACACTGCAAGTGAAGACAGTGAACTGCTGTGACACATTACATGTTAGTCATATGACCAGTTTACAGCAACTTTCAGCTAAACCAACATGTTCTACACCACACACACACACACACACACACACACACACACACACACACACACACACAAAAGAATCTGTTAAAAAATGAATAAAACAGGGGTACCTGTCCAAGTCGACTTGTAAAAGGCTGGATGTAAAACTGTCACAAGGCAACCGGGTGAAGGGAGAACCAGAGACAGCACTGTAATTAAATCCTCCAGAACCACCTGGCATATAGACATTACACTCTGATTTCAGAATACACAAATACTCCAGTGCACTACGTAAAAAACAATGTTACTGTATATACCTGTGGAGTCAAACAGTAAATCTAAAAACCTGCAGTAAAACATATTTCCCTGTTCCATAATACAGTATTTGCCAACTGATACTGCCATAGTTACCTGTTGGCATAGGAAGGTTTAAGGCATTACAGTAGTAAGTGGCCCCTGCACTGGGGGTTGGTTTCCTAGCCTTAGGTTTGTCTCTAGCTTCTTGTGCTGCCTGTGAAACTGCTGCCAGGAACTCAGAGGGACGACTCAGACCACTTGAGTATATAAAAAATATATCCGTGCTGGTTTATTCAAAAAGTCACAGGCAAGAATTCACACTTCAAGTCCAGAGATCTTCCAACCCCCAGGCTGCCCGAGCAGCCCGGAAGCAGCAAGACCCCGAACTAAGCATTGCTATACAATATTAATTCTTTCTGGGCTGTCGAACCGTGACGTCACCTGATATGCCAGCTTGGCAGCTGAGCAGAGCAGTAGACAAAACATGAAGAAAATAATGTGTGTGGCTGTTGTTTTCGTGGTGTGTATCTAAAACAATTTGACATAACATTACACATTAAGACAAATATTATGGTTACTTTTACCGTCATAATAACATTCGTCCCTGACGGCAGACTTTCTGCCTTAACTGTCCTTGCATTTAACAGCCTGAGGAAGACATCCTGCTGCACTAAACATCTTCTAATACAACAGATCTCTAATCCATATCTATCTAACTAAGAAATTACCTAACACTCTTGAGAGTCAGTCTGTAAAACAGGAACGTGATAAACAGTGAAGCGCACACTGGAGTAAGTATATAACTTCATAAGCTTATCATTTAGTGTGTTCCTCATGACTCACCATCCTCTGGACTCTCTCCGGTAGGCCTAATTTTACAGTTGTAAGGTGCAGCTTGCAGCTGTTGACCTGCATAAATATTTTACTAACAGATTTGCCTTCAGTAAAATTATGATGAAAGAACTGATACACCCTGAGAATAGGCCTGTCTCAGAATAATAAGCACCTTGGACAGGTCAGGACTTGAGCTGGGGTCCCGTTTTGTATTCCAGATATAACTGATGGCAAGCTGAGGAAAGAAATTGCTATGATAACAACCACAAAAACAATGATAACAGGCCTTTCTCATTGTGGGCATTTTGTCAATATAGAAAGAAGGAAGTGTGCAACAAATAATACCTATGATGGCTCTGTTCCAGATATGTGTGTCAGTAAGCCATGGTATTTTTCAGATATCTTGAAATTATTCTATGCTGATTCATTTGTACAATTAGCCTTTTGTTCACTGAGCATCTTGCTATATTTCTTTGCTTTATTGACACTCTTGGTGGCCTTCCCTTTGGTGTACTTACAATACTGTATAACCCAGGGGGTAAACATTTCAGTAACACTACATAACATTATTATTATTTTGCCCTATTTCTCACATAACACCTCAATGAGAGCATCCTTACATACTGTATATGTGTATGGTACAGCAGCAGCACAGTGGCTCAGAGGAAAACGCTCCAGAGGGTCATTAATACGGCCCAGGAGATCGTCGACTGTCTTCTCCTCACTCTAGAAGAACTACACAGTTCCTGCTGCCTCAAAAATGCCCATAACATCATTAAGGACACTTCATACCCAGAAGACGTTCATTCTTTGAACTGCTGCCGTCAGGTAGATGGTTCAGAGCAATCAGATCAAGGACCACTAGATTCAGGAATAGTTTTTGACCAACAGCAGTTACCACACTCAATGCTGCTAAAATATAATATATCTGTGTGTGAGGGTGTGTGTGTGAGAGGGATGTTTATTTCTTTTTGGGTTTTTTTAGTGGCTGTGTTTTTTTATATGGTCTTATTTCATATGTTGTGTTTTTTTCTACTGCTGTACCAACTGGAGGTCACTCTAAAATTTTGTGGTACATGTTACAATGACAATAAAGGATTATCTTATCTTATCTTATCTTAACTTTTATAACACCAAATGTGATCAAATAATTTATGTAGTATGATGAAATAACCTTAGAAAAATCAACTGGACTTAGATTTCTAGCTCTAGATCGAAGAGGCTTCATCAGTTCTGACTGACTGGTGTAGAGCCGGAGATACCAGTCAGACAGACATAATTTATGTAATATATTTTGGGTCTTTTTACTCTGTCAGTAATAAGTGGTTGCTCAGAGAACGCAAGTGGAGATTCATCAAAGGGACATCCCACACACTGCCTGTCACAATCTATTCATGAAGCACAGGCTGACACATACAATGGGAGGAGATCATCAGCAGTTTGTATGACAGGCCATATTGAAAAAGTAAAATGTAAATTCCAGCTGGTAACAATCTACAGAACCATGTACATACAGTAAGTTTAGCTTGGCTTCATACAGCTTAGATGCTTCCCCAAAAAACACTTAGACATTAAAAGGTTATCCTCCCATATTTGGCATATTTTATCTGTATTACATGCACCCTAGCTCTAGTGTGTGGTGTGTACTCATTATTATTATTATTTTGCCCTATTTCTCAATTACCTGCTTTGTTTAAAATGTTACAAGTCTCTTTTCATATACCAATGATTCAGATTAATTAATGTTGTTGTGGTTTGTCATGCTGTTCACTTTCATATTCTGGTTTGAACATGTCAGGTAGGATTTGAGGTATTGTCATTGTCGAAACGTAGCTTATTTGTCAGTGTTTTTATTTATGCGTTGTTGTAGCTTCCTGACAGCAGCAGCCGTTGTGTGTGTTCAAGAACTATCCTCTCATTTTTCTGAGGAAGCTCTCAGGTTTCAAATTCAGAGATAATTATAGACTATTTGGAGTTATGATGGCTCCAAAGCTAATCTAGAGGTACCCAAAATTAAACATTAAATGGCTGGAAATTAGCAAAATGAGCATGCCATGGGGACTTTAAGACTTTCCCTTTTAATAACATAGTAAGGGCTGGCTTGGGCGACTCAGCCTTCCCTTAGTTATGCTGCTATAGGCCTATCCTGCTGGGGGGCCTCCCATGATGCTCTACGCTCCTCTTCTCTCTGTCCATTTTATTTACTATTCATTCACCCCAACTGGTCGAGGCAGAAGGCCAACCACCAAGAGACGGGGTCTGTTGGAGGTTTCCTTCATTAAAGGGAATTTTCCTCCCCGCTGTTGCCAAGTGCTTGCTCAAGGTAGATTTGATGGGGGACCTTACTGTGTAAAGTGCCTTGGGATGATTTTTGTTGTGAATTGCCATAATATAAACAAAACTGAAGTGAATTAATATAATAAATCTGCCATTTCAGCCATCTGGCAGTGAATGTAAGTATGAGTGAGAGAGAAAGCGAGAGAAAGAAAGACAGAGAGAGTGCACTCTGGTTTTTCCTGTCAGTCAGCCCAAGCATTTTTGTTTTTGTTTGCCAACAGAAGCTGAAAAGATTTGTGCCATGTCACATTCAGAGTGAAAATAGATTTTGTGACAGTGCTTGGTTAATGATGTCAAGACTCATTTAATTATTTATGCAACACCCTGCGCATTAAATTGATTTTAGCTAGGAGAAGCCATGATGGTTGCAACACTAGATTAAGTGCAACATTCACAAATAACAGACAAGAATGTATGGTCCCCGGGGACTCACTTCCCCAGTAACCTGAACAAGAATGATTGGTTTAATAACCAATGTCTAAAGATGTGTGATATTCTTCCAGAAAACAAGCCTTATCGCTCTAGTTAAAAGTTATGCTAATATGTTAATTGATGTACAAATACTACATCTGCCTAAACAAACAGTACTGTCTTTGCACTGTTTATGTATGCATATACACACACACATGTATATATATATATACATATATACATATATACACACATACACACGGATATACATATATATATATATATATATATACACACACACACGGA